TGTGTCTATCTGATGGCTATTTAGCCCAGAGGAAAGTGAAAATCCGTAGTCAGAGGGGACATCCTTCGTCTCTGGCACTAAGCGCTGGGGCGTGGTGCAGTAGGATCGAGATTTTCGCGTCGCGGCAAAGGGACGCCGTGCGCGAAGGAATGTAGCAGAATGCAGCAGCAAGTAAGAAATACAGGATTAAAAGAACTAAAATCAGGATCATGCCAAAAATAATTGTCGCATAAGGATTGAGCTGTATGAAGAACTCTAGAACTGTATCAGCGAGGCGAATGGTCCGCGACTCCCGCGCGCGGCTAATCGATTACACAGAACCGATACTACTGCCCGTCTCCACTACGTGCTGGAGCGCAGAGAAGGAGGGGACCTAGTGCTATATCAGCAGGAATGGGATGTTAGCATGCTATCGCTTATATACTTGAAATACTAAGTCAAGCTCAACTGGATTTTCAAACCTTTAACCATCCCAAAATCCTGCCAGAACAGTTATCTCGTCCACCTGGTTCCCGTTTCCTTTTGGGGCTTAGGTAGAAAAACTATATCCCCATGACTAAATAATGTTTTTAACACCCTTATGAACCTACACGGCCGAGTATCCTTTCTTCTCTGCGTTCTACCCTTGGCGTTAGAGACGAAAGATGCCTCCTAACTATGTTTCCCCCTAGAAAAGAGCATCACATTTTTTATTTTCATTTAACAACGTAAATTTTTTGAGTTACCACTTTTATTTTTAATGAATTTATAAATTAAAGATGAGATTCCTTAATTATTATCTAATGTGAGTTGTGATCGGAATAACGCTTGATATCTGAGGTTGAGAGTGCTTTGGAACTGTGCCAGGACTCGAGTCCATGTGTATCGAGACAGTGTTATTCCACCACGAGTTGACACCTAAACTCGTCCATTGCTATGCCAAATCCGACAAATTCCTTTTTCGCTTACCGTAACCGTTTTGGTGTATTCCTGATATGGTCCAATACCAGCTTGCAGCATAGTGGTAGATAATGGACAAGTGGTAGGTGTAGCCTGTTGTAGAGTGACGATGGCTATTTGTGTAACTGCACCGCCGGCTAGGTAACCGATCTTGGTCCCGCCTGGATAATTTTGTTGTGTTCATCAGTTTCAATTGATTCGAATGTTAATTAACTTTATTCTATTCAAATGGGATCTACCTGGAACCGGCTGACCGATGTAGCAATTGGAAATCTCGTCCGGTGAATAGGTCACGGTAGTAGTGACACCAAGACTATTTACCGCAGGAACTTCGCTAAGTGCTTCGAGATACTGTAAAATAGCATTAAAATGGGGTTAGGTTGGAATCTCCTGACTCACCGCTGCATTGACTTCATTCTGACAATATCTCAGAGCTTCTTCTGACGTCATTGACTGCCCAGGGAAGAAATTTGTGACTGTAATTGAACCTAAACATAGTCGTTCAGCAAATGTTCTAGATCTTCTCCTTGGGTTACAAGGTGACCTGTCGGTGCAACTGGTGGATAGTATGTCCATCTGACCGGAGGGCTTACAGTGAACGTAAAGGAAGGATCCGTGATGATTTCCGCATCACGAGCGTAGTTTGCTGAAAAACGGAGGTTATTTTCTACTGAGGTGTGGCTTGAGTATTGACCGGCTCTAGTGAAAGGCAGCTACTCTTAGCTAGTTGTCTTGCCGCGCGGCATGCCGTTCGCGGCCTATATGCGTCGCTAACTCAACCCGCTCCCACAAATTCTGACTACGATGCTTCTTTGAGAGAGCTATTTTACTGGAAAAAAAGGATGTCTCTCTGGATGAGTGGTAATTACGAAAATCTGGGAATGGAAATATGCACACCCTTCCACAGGAGGAATTGGAAGTCATTTTCGAAATGATAAGCTCCCTACTCCTTACGTCTTATGAAACGTTCATAGTAAGCGGAAGGAGTGGAGGCTATGCCGCTCGACTCAGGCTTCCGAATGAACTATGATCGAACAGAAAATGATTGTTGGGCTAACAAAAGTTAACAGGTGAAATTGTTACAATGATGTGATGATGTGAACAAGTAAAAACATGAGGTAAGAACATGGATGGATGCCCTGTTTGTCTCGAACATTCCATGAAATTGATTGCTAAGACGAACCCTACGCCGTTGATTCTTCAGGGCTTCCTTCAAACTTTTGTTCATGAAGGGTCTGTGGGTATTGACTTCTTCTCTTCACAATTACCTAATTACCTAGTTATTGTAAGGACTTCTTTACAAATCTCTCTTCAGTTAAATCAGAAGCTACGGCTTGGAAACATGTGTTGATATCACACTTGGACAGCCATGGTTGGTCCGTTGATGTGGCACAACGGCAACCGTCTGCTGCACCGTCAGTAGGTTTTCAAGATCTCTCTTATAGACGCTTGGATCTATTCGAAGAATTCTTTCTTATTAGTTCACAATAGTTGCTTCGAAAACTTTCGCATTTGTGGAGAGGTCTAGGAACTGTTGAAAGGTTATTGCCATTGGACCAGCATGAACCTCGTTTTTACACGGTCCAGAGCTTGATAAAGGTCCAATCAGAAAAAAAAGCTTTTCATGGTTAGTTATTTGAGCGCAAATATTGTGTGATCAAAAAGCTCGGCTAACAGTACAGAAGTTAAGTAATCCAGACGAGTTATCCGGTTCAATTCAACTTGAGTTTTGCAGTATTTTTTAGACGTTTGGTTAATTTTGATGAAGACTACTTGGCTCTTAGCCAACAATGCCGAGCTCAAATTTTGGAAATCACTAAGTCAGGCTTTTTGTATCATTACACTCGTCCATACTATAATGCGCACTTCAAAAGCAAATAGTAATGCTAACGATGCTTTTCACTTTTTTGTTTTTGCTGCGAGATTTTTCTTTTATTTGCTGCAACTTCGCCTTACGAGAGATGAATTTGTACCGTAGCTCTTGAAGTCACTGTCACGACAGGGCAAAATGTAAACAGGAAACAAACAGTAAAGCTTTGCACTAATGATTAATGAAACTTGAATCCTAAAACGCGATGCCCACAAATCAGCAATTTCATCGCTATGCCAGAACTAAAGCGAGACTTAAGATGAGTCGTTTCACATTATTACAACTTACTGTTTGTAGAGCATGCTCTGGATGGTGAGGTGAGGCAGAATAAAACGACCAAAACGAGCTTCATGTCGAAGACGTCCACGACTCAAGTTCGCGCTATAAATGGACCTGGTACGCTGTGGTTCTATTTATTTTGACAGTAAACTTTTTATGAAAAGGCGTTAAATATGTTGTCCATAGCGTTCTTTGGGAATGCGACCCACGAAATCATTTGTACAGCTGAAGCTCGCAGTACAAACAACATACTGACTCATGAAGCTGTTTTGCTGACCAGACGTGCCAATAATAGCTTATGCAAGAATCCACCTCTACCAGAGCGGTGACTGGGAGGTTTCGATGGTGTGAAGAAGGGAGCCCTTAGTCGTTCCAAATTTCCGGTAAAAGCCACGGATATCCGGCCAGTGATTTTCGATATAAGCAACTTATAATGTTCATGGAGTTCCTGTCAGAGTTTTGGCTGGCTCATACTACGGAGACGGGGGAAGGGCATTGGGTGAAATTTTATAATTGTAATACTCGCCCTTTTTAGTCGGGTCCATCAATACCTGTTGAAAAACAGGATCAGATGTAGTTTTACGGTAAGTCCTCGATTACGCGACTACTCAACATATTCATCGTTGGCGGATGACGATAAGTGCTACCTTCGACTTGGCAGATCACTGTCACGTTCGAGTTCGAGGTTAATTAATGTTTATTCATCATTGCTCCATAGTAAGTGCTTATTATCACCGTGGTTTATCCATGGAATGCTGATGGGTTCTTTTCAATGGCATGATTTCTCGTACCGGTTTGATCGAGGCAAAGACCCGATAAAGAAGTCCTTGTAAAATGTTAGGAATCGTATTATTTGACAGCGCAACGATTCCTACAAGTAGAGTAGGGATCGAGGAGAATTCTTGGTTCTTCTTGGTTGTCCCTACTTTTCTTTTCTTTTCTTTTCCAAAAATGTTACCGTGCAGGATTTTTTCGCTCATAAATTCAGCTCAGGCGTGAAAGCTTCAGTGAAGTACTGTTTTACGATATTCTTCCGTCTATGAGATGGAGATACTAGGGAGTTTTGCGAGTAATTTTTCTCGATACTATATCAGATTTCTTATTCAGAGCTCAGTAATGTAAGTTCATGGGTAAGTCAGTCCGATTACTTTGTAAGTTTGTGATTTTATTTGTAAAGAGGGAATTGAATGCTAATTTGCAACCGGAAGCTGTTCAATGAGAAACTAACCTAAGTGCCGATTACCTTTTGGAATAAAAACTAGATTAATCTATTTTCAGGTCAATCCACCTTCCCATTTGGAATTTTGTGAGTCGGTAATTCTTGCTTACTTGTATAAAGCGGTATTTTATTTATTTTATCGATATTTGTGTATACCGTCTTCTTTGGAGGCAATTGCGTCTACTATACAGCCGGTTACGAATTGGGTGGGAATAAATTGAATACTTACTCGAATATCGAGTTACTGCTAAGAATAAAGAAAGCGAGCGATAGGGAACTACTGTTATTAAACAACTAGGGGTTTGGTTCACTCTCCGAGGTCCTTTTTATGTGCATCCGCAGAATACTATTTACATGTTCCATTATCTCGTGCTACATACCATTTTCATTGGGCTATTAACTATCCGGGAACGTAGTTGATGCTTCTAGTGTTGACTTTGTCACTGTGCTGCCCTTCATCTTGTCCTTTAAAAACCCCTCTCTTCACTTCACGATTGGAATTTTATTTTAAGCTAGTTGCCATTTACTTACCGTTTACTCCTTCGAAGCTCTCTTGATCTTTTAATAGTCCCTCCGTAGATCCAAAGTGTTTCGATGGTTCTTACGATGCGTTGAGGAATTTCCTTCATTTAAAATCATACTATTTATCACAGCATTATATCTAATTACTTGAAGGCATAGTTCCGAGCAACTTGTAAATTTGAAAGTATAATTTCCCTCTGTTTTAAGGAACTTGTAGAGGCGCTTAAGTAAAATCTTTGAAGAATTCCTTGAATTCGATTTCCCTTTTAATTTCCTGGCAATCAGATTGCTCTTTTTAGCATCCTCTTTATTTGTGCTCCACTAAGGCTTAAAATTTTCCTTTTTTCATGTTTGATGTTCGGAAACTGTAGACTTTCGTTAAGTCTTCATGAGTTGCGAATTGGTCCTCGATCGTTTTTGTGATTTTAGACGTGGATTTGCATGAAGGAGGAGCTTTTAGCAAGGAATAGCTACGTTATCTTCATGTTGCGAGGATTGTTCACGGTAATGCAATCGAACAGGTTGGTAATGATTTATGGCTTGTAGAAATTGGGCTGCTAAATAGGTTCAAACCTTTTCCAACTGCTGTGGGGAATCTTTCTGGCTTTTTGTGTCGCATAATTTTGAATACTTCTGAGATAGCCTTGACGTTTGATCGTTCACTTGCGAAGACGTTGCGTGAGACATCTGAAAGTCGTCCGTTGTTGAGAAACGAAACGAGGAACGCTGATGAAAAAGAGACTATTCTAATGACTGGTAAGCTTTCCATATTCTAGTGATAACATTTGTTAGCGTTCACTAGTTAGTGAAGTTGTGGAGGGGAATATCCATGATCGCAATCGCTGTTGAAGTACCGCATTGTTCGTGCATTGTTTCAGAACTGTCTATTCTGGCCGTAATTCCGAAATCCTCTCCTTT